GAAGTCGTTGTGTCGGTAACCCTCGATTCTCGCTTTCATGGATGCACTTCTAAATGTTTATGATGCAATTGGTAGAATATATGGAAAAATAAAAAATGACGAGCGAGAGTAATATATTTTTTTATCTTTTCATTTTTTGTGTTTGGTAAAAAATATGAAAAAGTAGATAAGACTAAATATATATATATATATATATATATGGAAAAATTAAAATTATAGATGCATATTTTACTATTTTATTTATATATGAAATTAATTAGGGTGTATATAATATGTACTAGCTAAATAGGGTATATACATATATTAAAAGATATAAAGGTAAATAACGCACATTTTAATACAAATGATTAATTTTTTAGTTATTTTTCTTTTCAATTTTGGAGAGAGAAATTTTGGTAAGTTTGAAAGAAGTATAATCCATTTAATTTTTGTATTCTTCATTTTTTTTTTTTTTTGGTAAGTCATTCTTCAAATGTTTTTCCATATAAAACATAATGTTTTATCATACCATAATTTTAAATTTTCATCTTTCTATTTTTCTATCATGTCAAACAAAACATTATACACTTTGTAGTTCCGATTGGATTGTGGTATTAAGTGTACCTGCATTAGTGGCATGGGCGGAGTTATGCATAGTCCCGGGTGGGCAAGTTTACCCCCTCAAATTTTTTTTTTTTTATTACCTAACTATATATATTATATATTTGTATAAATATATAACTTGTGTCCACATAAAACAAAAGACAAAAATGTTACGTCCACCACCTCTACCCAAAAATATTTAAAAAACCAAGCCCACATAAAACAAAACAAAAATATATCGAGTTGGGACTCAATGGAATTGAGTTAGAATTGATTCTCAAAACTTGGGATGGATCCTAAATTGTTAAAATTTGATATCGATCCAATTTTTTAACCAATTGAGTTGTCAGTTGATCACAGTATATTATATCTTCTCAATTTTTTATGGGTATTATAGAAAGTTTTAGATTTTTTTACAATACTTGTAGTTATATAGATAATACTGAGCAATATTATAAAGACAAATAGAACAAATAGGCAAATTTTTTATTTTATAAAGGTTTTCTCCGGATGACCTTAATTTTATTATTTATAAATTTTTACAAGTAAAAATTCTTGCAATTGACCTTTATTTAACATTTTTTTTTAATGGGAAATTATCTCTATTTTTATTTGAGGATTGATTATAATCTTTTTTATGTGTCAATCAATTTAAAAAAATTTTTACTATGTTTAACGCTTAAATTCTAGTTAAATAGTTTTACTATGTTAATATCTCAGTGTGTTTGGAACATCATTTATTTAATAAATTTAATAGATTGTTAGTAAATAACTAATATTTTTTAATTACAAAAATGACAACTAGTTTCATTTTTTACAATGGTGATAATTAGTCATTTTTGTACATATATAATATGCATTATTTTTTTGTTATGTTAAATAAACTTCATGTATCAAATGTGATTTAATAAATATAAATATATTATATAGCGTGATTAGTCAAGAAGAAAAAAAATTAAAGTGCATAATAAAATGTTCACCTTGAACAAAATTTCTGTCTCCGTCCCTAATTAGTGGCAAATAGGATCGATGCTTTATCCAAAAATAATATCAATCAGGTTGGTGTTGTGTTGTTGTCAAATGAAAATGATGGGTTCATGTCCTGCTTTCATATTTTCTTGTAACAATATTTGTTTATGTTATGGGTTCATGTTCTATGTTCCTACTTCTATGTTTTCTTGGAAACTTGCTGGAAGGCAGTGGAGAAGGAGCCTTTAAATACCGCCCTCCACAACAGTCTTTTACGTTTACAGCCGCATGCTTCACATTCTTGTTTCTCTAGGAACTAACGGACAAATGCATTATATACGGAGCCCGTGCAAGCTGCGATGAACTAAACTAGGGAGTAACTAACGATAGGAATTAGAGCACGAGCTTGGCACGAGCAGCCAAGTAATTCGACGAATCTCCAGCTCACCCGTCTCCAGCTCGATAGAGTCCTACTTTCCCACGATTTGACTAGTTCAACTCAACTGAGAGTTGAGACTCCTGGTCCAACAAAGAGTCATCTCCCATTGCAACAGTGGTACCACCTCAATTCAAATAAGGGATAAGTATCCCCCAGCGACATGATTAAGCAGCCTATAAAAAGGAATAATAGAGATCAAAGGAGATACACAACTCTAATCTCAGTTGAATATTCTCTTTCCTCAATTCTTTCTTGACTTGAGCATCCGAGGATCGACTCTCGGAGCCTCTCCGATCTTCAATTTGCCTTTGCAGGTGCCTCTCTTGATCTATCAAAGTTAATTCCTACATTTGTCGATCGGTCAAAATTTAATTCCGGTCAACCACTTATCCAGAACTCGGTGAGTATTTTTTGGCATCATAAAAGACGTATTGTATTCTTCTAACATTTTTTTAGCATTAAGATTTTTTGGCACATTTGTATATAGTCTAATGTTGATTCATCATGTCTTTAGGTAATTCTAAAATTAATCCATTAGACTTACAAAATATTAAGGGAATCGTGATCTGTCACTATTACAAAGGGGGGCGGTGGAGTTTGGTGTCCTACTCATGGATTCGTCAACTAAATACCCACCCATATCTGACTCTCTAACAATGGATCCTACCAGTTAGGATGAGATCCTCAACTAATTTAGCAGTGCAAGAATCAACAATAATAATTTCCAATGATAGTCAATGTAGAAAGGCTCTTATATCTATATAATTAACCTCTTTCTTTTTGGCACTCGGAGAAGAGGCGCACTTTAACCCCAATTCATAATATAGAAGTACTGTTTGATGAGCAAAATGGAGTTCATGTTCCACCAGGCATGTCTCTCCAAGCATTAACATGTACATTGGGCTCAAATTTTTTGGACGTCAAGAACAAGTCTTTGTTGCTTAGACGTTGTAGGAATTAGGTTCAAAATAAACATAAATTCGCATGACTGCAAAAGAATGAAAATAGAAAGATTGTGCACTTTATTTTAATCATTGTTGAATTTTAAAATAATGATAGCTCTTGGACCTGATAAAGTATTAAGTTTGAGTTGAGGTGTAGAATTCGTGCCTCTACAAATAAATTACCCATGTAGTATATCATAGTACGTCACTTCCAGAATACAACAATCCTATTATTCACTATTACTTTTTTGAATCTAAACAACCGTGAGATAGATACTTCACACACACATATTTCTTTGCCCACCAAAATGAAAGTAAAAGAATGGAAGATGACATGGGAGCTTGTATACTTTGTCACACTCTCAATAAGAGCTAGATAGACACTATGCAACTCCTAGCCCAAATGAGATCACTAATTCGTATCATAAAACTCAAGTACTTTAGTCTTTGTAATTTATTGGTCAAATAAAATATAATATAACGCCCACTAATTAGGCCAATAATTATCATAGTGAATATGAAACTATTTCAATGTTACATATGAGTCTTACGAAAGTGTATATAAATCCACGTTAAGAAGCTAAAATAAAAGCCCAATTGAGTATGAAACTATTTCAATGCAAATTATTTAAATAACAAATACCATACTTTCGTTTTTACAAAAATACTCCAACAATCCTCCCTTGTTTCAATTAAATTAATATATAATTGGGCAAAGATAAAACATTATGCATAATGAAGGTGACAATACCTTGAAACCTTCACTTAGTGATTCAATAGTTTATGTTCTAGAGATAAAGTGGACTAAGCCTAATAACTAAAAAGGGCGTGTAGAATTATGTCATACATGACATGCAATGTGCCACAATTAAGCTTCTTAAGCCAACACATTACAACCTTGTACGTGAGTCTATCAAGATGCTCTTGTGATTAAGACATTCCACCTAGAAGAGATGTAGAACTCATTAAGAGATTAAAATTAATCTCAACCTCCACAATTGTCACAATATTACATACCCTTAACACCATAAAGATAGACTATGTGTCATTAACACTTAGATAATGCATGCCCCTCAACAAACCAACTCTACATTTGTCCCTTTAACCTAATTCTTGAGATCTACAGTCCTTTAAGTATCATCATAGTCAACTAAATAATATTTGGACTTGAGTCTCATCACCCTCCATGTATATCAGACCTTTGCCTTTATCTAGAGTTTTGTAGAATTTCACATAATAACAAGTGATTAAAAAGGTCCGATCTTCAGCACTGCACTACACCAGTAATATGAGTGCTACAAATAACATGTATATTCTCATTTGCGTGCTCGATTCATCCACCAACTTGTTTCTCACTTAGCCACAATATCACACTTGGCGCTTGGTGGTAAGTGTTAATAATTCAATGTTTCACATGACGTTACCAGCAACAATATACTAGCTACGCAATCACAATACCGTAATCACATAAAGCAATACCATGTAAGAATTTACCGAGCATATGGGCCACACTCCTTCCTTGTGAAAAATAAACTGAATCATCATACATAAAATAAAACAAAAAAGTGTTGAAGATTTGTCTGAGACAACAGAAAAAGACGCACTCCACCAAATTGTAAATAATACTTTTGAGAAAATGTTTTTCTCGTTGGATCACTAGTCATCCACTTCCTCCACACGTGTTTGTTTTCAGTTGACAATAGCATTTTTTTTTTAATGCTGATGCTACCTTCTCTCATCAAGGCAGAATTTAGAGAGAGAGAGAGAGAGAGACAGGACGTCAATAATGGCCGTTTAAAATTTCCCTCAATTCTTTCTCGACAACCTGCTTAGCATCATACAACTTTCAGTTCACATAATGAGATGTTATTGTAGTGCTATTTTGACAAGCAGAATGCAGAACTACATTCTCTTTCTATAGAGAAATACAGAACTGCAGCATTATCACAGATCTAATGTAATTTAGCAGTAACAGTATGAGACAAGAGTACCAGTGCATGGAGAAATAACCTGCTACACCAACTATTGCAGAAATAAGGCATGAAAAGTGCATTTTCAAGAAGCCATCAGCTTTTCATACCCCCAAAGAATCGAGAAAGTGGCAACGGCCCACCAGTTTCTTCGTTATCACTGCTAGAATCCTTGGATCTTGACCTATGCCTTTTTTCTTTTTTTCTTCCCTTAGATCTTGATTTTGATCTTCTTGATTCCCTCTTTTCATCATCACTACTCGAAGATTCCGAGGACGAACTTGAACTAGACTCCAAATATCTCCTGGAATGCTGCAAAATTACGACAAGATTACCAGGATTATATGCATGAAAAAGTTTTTTTTTTTTTTTAAAAGCATGCGCAACAGGCAAAAATCTTTATGATTTGCTTGTTCCTGGATATATTTTGTCGTCTTGTGGACAATTGGGAATTCTAGCGTCTTTGAATTTAAAAGGAAGGAATAGTGTGGACAAAATTCAGTAATTTGGAACGAGGACAAGTTATAAAACTCAGCTCAATTTTTTACCTCATCTAGACACAAGATAAAAATGAAATAACTAAAATAAAGTACTTTTTTACCTAATTATCAAGTGGACAAATTTATCAGGTCTCAACCACAGAACCACTAATGATTTGATACCAATACCCTTCTTGAATATGCAGTGCAGGGATCCTAAACATGAAATAGGATGAATTGCAATCAACTAAAATGAGATCCTGCATATTTCAACAGAATTTCAACTTCATGCCATGGCTCAACCAAACCAGTACTTCAAGGAAAAAGACTACACTAATCAGAAGAGAATCCAAAGGGGCATGGAAATAGAATGATTTCTTAAAACTTTGCATGCATAGAGATATTGGATTGGAGGAGTAATAAAGACAGAAAGGTCATACGTTTTCAACAAATGTCAAAGGTGGGGGCCAACTGGCCAGCGACCCTTGCCCAGGACATCAAAACCTCATGATCCAACTAAAAGCAGTAGCAAGAATAGGAGAAGTAATTAATGGAAAGAATAGAAGAAGTAATTAATGGCATCTCCATACAGAATCCAAGCTCCTTTAGAAAAAAAAACCATTTTACACGAGAGGCACACCAATTGTTGACCTAAACATAAAAAAGACGTTAATAGGAGAGACCTGATATTCCCCTTATCTTAAAAGCAGGCAAGAATACTTCCCTGTATCAAGAATTCCCACTTGTGAATCTGAATATTTGTGCCAAAATGCATTCTCTTATTACTATCAAATGCTTGATTGCTTTCCTTGGTCCATGTCTTGGTCAAAAAAAAGGGGATTTGGAAAGCAAGCTTGAAGATGAAAAGTGGAACTCTAGCAACGATGATGGCAATTAGTTTGTGTTGAGAATAATTGGATTTGGCATCATTATATTGTTGGAAGATTGAATTACGAGGACAAGTGGACGAGCAAAGTTTGCCATTTTGTGGTATTTGCAGATGTCAGATTATGTCTCTTAGAAGCTTAACATTAGATTAAAAAATAGTTTGAGGTCTTCAATGTTGATTTTGATTCATTACATGACAGGTTCTAGAAATGTGACTTATGTGTTGCAATACTTTTATAAGGCAAAATAAAAATAGGACATGGGCTATGCTGGGCTAGATTTGGGAGCCCATCTTCAGTAATGGATCTGGACCAGTAGGGGCAGCCTGAAGCAGGGCCAGAACAGGATAGAGCCAGACCTAGGGCTGTTACCACAGGGGTTAGCCTGGCCACAGCCCAGCCATGGCCACCCTTCGTTTCAAATGGAAATCCCAAAAAAGAAAAAAAAAATCCAAATTCTTGAAAGATGTTGGTCAGAATAAAAGATATTAGATTTGCATATAGTGTCTCAAAGTTACTACGCATCCTATAATCTCAGAAAGACGGGATAAAAAACCCAAATAGAGAAAGGAATGTGAAGTCACCTTTCTCTTCTTGCTGCTACGCTTCTTTGAATCCTTATCTTTCTTGTCTGCAGGAACACACTTTGCCATTAACAAATAGCTAGTTTTGTTATATAAATGAAACAAATTCTTCTCCTTTCTCCGTACCATTATCCCTATACATACCCTTCTTGTGACTAGATTTCCTACTTGAGCGGTTTCTTCCTTGGGAAAGCTTGCTTGCCCTTTCAGCATCTAGCTGAGCTCTGTACTCTTTCATCATTCTATCTTTATCTGCTTCTAACTCCTCCTTTCTTGTTTCTTCTTCCTAACAAATAAAATTTCCAGTAAAAGAATCAAATAAATGTGCTTCACATAACAATGGAACATTGTCAAAATAGCAGAAATCGACTCAGCAGAACTAAAATAAGGAGAATGCCATAAAACAAGATAATTATATAAAAAATGCAACAAATATCCAGTAAACAAGGTTATTCAAGAAGTATATGCTGAACTATGTCCTGTATTGGGGAAGGGGGCAAAAGAAAAATAAAGATAGCAATATTTTTTCTGCTCAAATAACTCAGAGAACATTAGAAATCCCAATGCCTGGTCACATTGTTTCAGTAAGTAATTGTTTTCTCATTAAAAAGGTCAAAACAATGCGTAAAATCATGCACACACATGAAGAGCCTAGAAAAGTATAATAACAGCTAGGTTCTGAGCCAAATCCCTTTTAGATTCCATAAACATGTCGTAAGACTTGGGTACACCTTATTAAGCCAGAAACAAAGAAAATTTAGCATCAAATATTCTAGTCTAGATAAAGGCAGCCATCCTGTTGATATCTTAGAGCATCCACTCAAAACAATTAGCAACGAGTAGAGAGGCCCCTTAAGTATATCAACCAACCTTGCATGGAATACAAGCTCACTTTATAACCTCCTTCACGTGGAACTCGCACTCACACGTGACAAAGAAACAGATTAACATGCATATCGAGGAAATCCGATGGGAGACTAGACCTATTGACCACCAAAGCCCCAGCTCCGATACCTGTTAGAGCATCCAATCAAAAACGAGCGGTGGGGCCCTTAAGCATATAAACCAACATTGAGTGGTCTGAATTGTTTGGTGTGGGATACAAGCTATTTTTATAGACAAGTCCCATTAGTCTCCACCTATGGACCACACTAGGCAAGTAAGGCTGTTCGCAACCTCTTTGTGAGGCTGCTCCCAACCTCTTTGGCATACTCCACTCTACCCTGACTCTTTCAAACAAGCACGCAATGCCTCCATGGTCCTTGACAACCCAACTGAGCTTAAATACAGTCGATCCAACAATAGTCAATAATCTTGGGAAACTGGATAATTACTTCATAATAGAATTAGTGGAAAAAATTGCAGACAATTACACAGTTTTCAGGCACATTTTCCAAGGCAAATAAACTTCCATCCACAAAAAGAAAGCTTATAAAGTCCTTTATTTGATAATAAATTAATGTGCCTATTTTCCATCCTCATAATGTTTTCAAAAAGGTTATGTGTTATAAACTTATAGAATACTTTATTGTCCACCATGGAACAAACATTCCTAAAAAATTATTCATTGATATACTATCCCCAAGTTTTATTGCATTATTCATTAGTCTATACCTCGATAGTTTCTTCAACTTTGTATATCTCCCTTAGTCTTATATGGTACTAAAATACTTTTTCTCCACTCATCAGGTATTTTTTTAGTCAGGATATCATTATTAACTAATTTAGTTAACCATGTTACCCAAACATCCCCTAGACACTTTTGAACCTCAATAGGCACACCATCTAGCCCTATATTTTTCCCTCTCTTCATTTTTTTAACACCTCCTTTACTTCTGATATCCTAATTCTATGACAAATGTGTTTTAGCTACTCTCCCTATGATTTCTATAGTCCTTAATGTCTAAACTTTCTTTATATTGTAATTTAATCACGGTTAGGAAGAAGAAAAAAGCAAGATTACGAAGAGGAGAGAAAAGATGACGAGAAGAGAGAAGTGTATTAGGTTACAAAACTGCACCCTAACTTATATATATAAGCACAAAGTACAAGAATACCCTCAAGCTAAAAATAAAGCATAATCCTCCCTCAAGTTGGTGCATAGATATCTCTCATGTCCAACTTGTAAACAATAGGATGAAAAATCTTGCTACCAAGTCCCTTGGTGAAAATAACGGCAAATTGGTTCTCCAATTTCATAAAAAGCATGTAAATCAAGCTCTTGTTCAACTTTTCTTTGATAGTGTCAGTCAATCTCAACATGTTTGGTTCTGTCATGTTGAACTGGATTATGAGCAATACTATTGCAGTTTTATTATCATAGTACAGCCTCATAGGCTCATCCTCATGAAGTTTGAGCTCTCCCAGTAAGTTTTTAAACCGCAAGCTCAAATTCCAGGAGTTATTGCTCTATATTTAGCCTCAACACTAGACCTAGAACCATTGCTTGTTTTTTACTTTATCAAGTAACAAGGTTTCCTCCTATCAACCTACAATAGCCCAGTTGAGGACTTTCCCAAAGCTCCTTTTGACCTCAGCTCTGCAACAAACACCAATACAAAGAAAAAGACCAAACTATCACCTATCATCCACAGAAACTGCTCAGTCTGCATCAGTAAATTCTTGAAACTTGAAGTGACCATGTTTGGAGAACAGAATCCCTTTTCCTGGAGCTAATTTGAGATACTTCAAAATATAATAAACAACTTCAAGATAATTAACTGACTGACAACACCCATTGCATAAGAAATATTTGGACGAGTATGAGAAAGAGATGTCAATCAACCCACTAATCTCTAATACCTCTCCTTGTCAACTATATCACCAACTCCACTACTCAATCAGTGATTGACCTCAATCGAAGAATATGTAGGTTTACATCCCAACATGTCTATTTCTTCAAAAAGGTCAAGAGCATACTTTCTCTTAGAGATAAAAATGTCTTCATCTGATCTAGCAACCTCAATCCCAAGAAAGCATCTCAATGGACCCAAATCTTTGATTTCAAACTCCTTAGCTAACTGGGGTTTAAGTTTGGTGACTACCTGCACATCAAGTATTACTACGTCATCCACATCTACATACACAATCAGAACAATCATCTTATCATCATCCTAACTGATGAGCATAGTATGATCAGCATGACTTTGTTTATATCCAAATTTAAACATGACTTTGAGAAACCTATCAAACCAAACACTAGGAGATTGCTTGATCCCATAAAGAGAGACTTCTTCAACTTACATACATTTCTTTTGGTTAATTGGGATGAAAAACTTAGTGGAATTTCCATATACATCCTCTTCTTCAAACTCTCCATGAAGAAAAGCATTCCTCATGTCCAACTGCTGCAGACTCCAATCCAGATTAGTTGCATATGAAAGAAAAGCACGTATAGAGTTCATCTTTGCCACTAGAACAAAAGTCTCTTGATAATCAATACCATAAATCTGGGTGAAACCCTTAGCAGTACCTCTCGACTATCCCATTGGCTTGATGTTTGATAGTTGACACCGATTTGCCCCTTGCTATCCTTGCTCCATCAGGAAGAAAAACTAGCTCTCGTGTGTTATTATTTCTCAAGGTTTTTATTTCTTCTACCATAGTTTCTCTCCACTTGGGAACAATGAGAGCTTCTTTTCAACCCTGATAGATGCAGAAGACAAGAAAGAAATAAAAGCACGATATGATGGGGATAAAGAATCATAAAATACAAAATTAGAGATAAGGTGTCGAGTACAAGTTCTAACACCCATTTCACTATAATAGGAAGCTTAGAATCACCAACTGCGGGATTATCAACGGGAGTAACACCTGATAAATCACTGGAAAGTGTCCAAACTAGAGTTAGGTAATCTAATTGATTATGTGGCACATGGGTAGTCTATCCTTGTACCTTTTGACATCGAAAATAAGTATTTAGGTTATCCTTGTCAAGGCAAATACACGATAGACTACTAGTATCACCTCCTTTTTCCTCGATAAGTTGTTGATCCCCCTTCCTAATATTCCACTGAAGAGGCAAATGAAGAAAAGGTTCCCGACATATAAAACACTCAATAGGTGACTTAAACTAAAGGACCAATGAAGGAAGTGGATTTATAAAATAAACAATAATAAGAACAAGATAAACAACAATAAGAACAGAATCACCCCAAAAGATTTAGGAACATTCATGGTAAACATCAACGAACGAGCAACCTCAAGAAGATGAAAATTTTTCTGCTCAGTAACACCATTTTGTTTAGAGATACTCACACAATAGGTTTGATAGAGAATGTCGTTCTTATTAAGATAGGAACAAAATTCCCTATCTATGTAATCAGTCCCATTATCACTCCGAAGGATTTTGATTTTAGAATCAAACTGAAAAATCATTATTTTATGAAAAAATCTAAAGTGAAAGAAAACTTCATTTTTAGTACAAAGTAAGTAAGCCCAAGTAAGACAAGAATAACAATCAATAAAAGTGGCAAACCAACAATAATCAAACATAAACACAACACGGGAAGGTCCCCACACATCAGAGTGAATAATGACAAAGGGAATAGTGCCTTTATTATTAGTAATAGGATAAAATGAACATATAACTTTATAAATTTGCAAGTATCACAAACAAAGCAATGCCTATTAAAGGGAATAATCATAGAAGAAGGAAGTTTTATTTGTGTTAAGTGTGGAAGATTAACATAACATTAGAGAGGAACAGAGAGAGGTTAAAAATTTAATCAATCTCTCATACATCACTTGTATTTATAGTTAACTCACAATAATAAGAATTACACATACACCCTCTTACTATTAGCAATTTACACATACTACCCTATTATTCTTAACACTTCCCGTCAAACTGGACGATATATATCATATAATCCAAACTTTGAATAAATCACTATAAGACGTGTACGACTCAATACTTTGGTAAACGTATCTGCAAACTGATCTTTAGATTTCACAAATGGAGTTGTAATCTCCTCAACTACTATCTTGTCCCGAATAAAGTGACAATCAACCTTAATATGTTTGGTTCTCTCGTGAAACATCGGATTGGCAACGATATGGATAGCTATCTGGTTGTCACAAAATAACTATAAAAAAAATTGAACTAGAAACCCAATTTCTTGGAGGAAGTGAAGTAGCCAAATCAACTCACTCGTCGTATGCACCATTGCCCTATACTCAGCCTCAGCACTGGATCTTACTACCACAGATTGTTTCTTACTTTTTTACGAGACAACGTTATCTCCTAAGAAAGTACAATAACCAGTGGTTAATCTCCGATTAAAAGGAGAGTCAGCCCAATCAGCATCTGAGAAACCTTCCACTCTAAGATATCTATTAGTTCGATATAACAGTCCAAGTCCAAGAGCACGTTTGAGATATCGCAGAATCCGAGTAACTCCCTCCCAATGTAGTACTCTAGGACACCTCATGGACTGACTTACTATACTGACTACATAGGTAATATCCGGTCGAGTAATAGTAAGATAATTGAGCTTCCCAACCAATTTGTGATACCGACCCGGATTCTCAAACAGTGCACCATCATCCATCAAAAGTTTTTGATTCGGATCCATAGGAACATCAATAGGTCTGCCACCCAGCAAACCTGCTTCCTCTAGCATGTCAAGTACAAATTTCCTTTGAGATAAATAAATACCCTGTTTAGATCGAGCCACCTCAATATCCAAAAAATACCTACGTTTTCTCAAATCCTTATATTGAAAAGGATCCTGCAAGAATATTTTTAACTTGGCAATCCACTCAAAATTATTTTCAGTAATCACAATATCATCTATATAGACCACCAATAAAACATATATCTAGAAACACAGAATGATCTGTCTGACATCGAAGAAGACCAAATTCTAAAACTGTATCTGAAAACTTATCAAACCATGGCCTCGGTGACTGCTTCAAACCATACAAAGATTTATTTAACCGACATATACTCTTACCATACTCCCCCTGAGCAATAAACTCAGGTGGTTGCTCCATGTATACCTGTTCAACCAAGTCACCATGTAGGAAGATATTCTTAACGTCTAACTGAAACAAGGAAATCAAGATCAAGATTAGCAGCCAAAGAAATCAAGATACGAACAGAGAAAACTTTGGCAACAAGAGAGAAAAGTCTCCTCATAATCAACACCATAAGTCTGAGTAAAGCCCTTTGTAACAAGCTGGGCTTTCAAACGCTACACAGAACCATTTGGATGAAATTTAACAGTATATACCCAACGACACCCAACAGTTTGTTTAACAGGAGGTAAAGGAATGAGATCTCAAGTCCCATTATGATGTAAGGCATCCATCTCTTCCTCTATAGCTTTCTTCCAACCCGGATCAGATAATGTATCTTGTAAATGCTTAAGAATAGATATAGTAGATAATTGGGAAGCAAAACAAGTAAAGACAAGAGACAAGGCATTATATGAAACAAAATGAACAATGGAATTAGTAACACAGAACGAGTACCTTTTCAAAGAGCAATAGGTAAAGAGTCTAAATTACCTAATGTCCCAGGATCACAAGGCGGCAAGGAAGATGGTACGGGCACCTCAGTCGATGGGCGAGGATGGCGAAAGTAGACACAGAGAGATAAAGTAGATGATAACACAGTGGACAACGGAATATCTGAAGATGAGGAAAGAGATGGTAGTACAGGAAATGACCCAAAGGTTGAAAAGGTGCTAAAAAATATAGAACAGATTCCTCAAACGTGACATCGGCACTAGAAAAGTATCAGTGCAGAGAAGGACTGTAACAACGATACCCCTTCTGCGTGCGGGAATAACCAATAAATACACATTTGATAGCTCGAGGGTCAAGTTTGTCAAACCAAAGACCCAAATTGTGAACATAACAGACATATCCAAAAACCTTAGGAGTCAGAAAAAATAAGGGCTTGCCAGAAAAAAGGATAGAATATGAATTTTGCCCATTTATCACAGAGGATGATACACGATTAATAAGGTGACAAACAGTAAAAAAAGCATCACTCCAAAAATATCAGAGAATATTCATCTGGAATAACAGGGCACGGGTGACTTCCAACAAATGATTGTTCTTGCGTTCAGCAACACCATTCTGTGGAGAGCTGTAAGGACAAGAAGTCTGATAAATAATGTTAATTTTACTAAGATAAGCTGAAAAATGATCAAATTCATATTCCCGAGCATTATTGGAACGTAAAGTACGTATACAACAATCATACTGAGTTTTTATTTTTTTACGAAAGGTCTCAAATATAAAAAATAATTCAGACCAAACTTTTATAAAAAACAATCAAGACACGAAAATAATCATCCACAAATGTCACAAACTAAGAATATTTATTAGATGAAATATTCTTTATTGGACCCCATACATCAGAATGTACTAACTCAAATGGACTATACACACGATTATTGACTCTAGACTGAAATGACACACGTTGATGCTTACTAAGTTGACAAGCTTCACAAGACAAAGACGACACATAACTAAAACTGAAAACTTGGTGCTTCAAATTTGGAGAGAGAGATGTCTAAGACAATAATGCCATTGAAAAGGAGACAATGAGGTCTGTAGAGCCCGGATAGGTGAATCAAAGTCAAGGTAATATAGACCATCAACTTCATGTCCCGTACCAATAAGAGGGATAAAATGTTACAGAACAATTGAGAGAACGAACAATCTTGCTAATAGAAAATAAACTAAAAAAAAAACTGAGGAACAAATAACACAGAAGATATGGACATATCAGGACTCAAGTGAGTAGTCTCCAGACCTGAAACTTTAGAACAAGTACCATTAGCAAGAGTAATGCGGAAGTAGCAGACTGATAAGTAAAAAAAAACATCAGACACACTAGTCATGTAGTCAAAAGCGCTAGAGTCTATGATCCAGGGACTACGAGTGGAGGACAATAAATAAGTGGAAGCAGTACCTGGCTGGACAAAAGTAGCAGTGGAAGGAGATGGGACAGCCTACTGCTGGAACAGAAACTGAGCATACTCCTCTCGTGTAATAGTAACCCTTGATGGAGGCAAAGATGGAATAAGGGACCTGGTATCTTGCTTGGGTACCATAATAGTGCAACAAATAGCAAATAAGAAATGTTGTAATAAAGAACAAGAGGAAAAGAGACTGTTAGAAGGCTGAACCGGGCGGGAAAACCATGCTGGACTGATGAACCAGACATCCTGAGGTCGCTAGACTAATGAACCAGAGTAGAAACTAACTGAACCAAGCTGAACCGGTGTAGAAACTAGGTGAACAAGGTTGAACCGGTGTAAAAACAAGGTGAACTGGACTGCAGAAGGTTACTGAACTGCTAAACTAGACTTGTTTGGGGCTCTGGACTGCTAAACCGGACCTATTAGGGGCTCTGGACCGCTGAACCGGACTGAATAGACTTCTGGACCGCTGAATCGGACCTTTTAGGGGCTCTGAACTGCTGAAACAGACCGGATAGACTTGCTGGACAGCGGGATGGATCAAAATTAAATTGGGTTGGACCGAAGTGGGTTGGACCCGATTTGATTGGACTTGGACTTAAAATAATTTAAACAGGTTGACTCGGGTATGAGTTTGGGTCTTTTATCCAAACTCGTGGAGCCGGGTCTGGACCTTTTTATCTGGTTTGAACCTTGTCTTCTTCGTTGGTTAGGGTTATAGTGAACCCTGATCTTCGATAGAGCCTCACCACAACAGCCGCACAACCACCACGACAGCCACAACAATACACCACAACAGCCACGCCACCACGACGACAACCGCCGCAATACACCACCACAGTCACGCCACCACAACGAACACAGCATCACGACAAACAACCACCAGGATGAACAACAAACGACGACGAACGACCTCAACCACCATGATAGCAATACCAAACAACCACCACTAGTGACAACACCACCACAACACCAAGATCAACCACAATAACAGTACCACCACCACCACGATGACTTTAACGAACAACAGGACTACCACCACGAACACAGTTAATTTATTCAAAATATATTTATGATTGTACTTGCTCTAATATCATGTTAAGTGTAGAAGATTAAGATAACATTAGAGAGGAACAAAGAGAGGTTAAAAACCTAACATAACTCTCATATATCACTTGTATTTATAGTTTACTCACAATAATAAGAATTACACATACACCCTCTTATTATTAATAATTTACACATATTACTCTATTATTCTTAACAATTTGAATGTGTTTAATACAGAAAAATGGCTCAACATTATGATAGCAAATGGGACCTTCACGTGACCTGATTATGATTATGATGACAAAAAAAATTATTGTCAATCTTAGGGTTGATAGACTTTTTTAGTATAAAAAGAATGAGCTTAGTCAATCAACTATAGAAAAGTTGGGAATTCTGTCTTGCTTGACTCTCTTTTTTTCATGACCGGATTGTCAAAGGAGAATTGGTGTATGAGTCTTAGAATACCCCCACTGAAACACAGTCTTTGCTAGATCACCAAGCTTATTATTCTCTAAATCTACAAACTGCTTCACAACTGAAACAAAGGATGATGTAGTTCCCTTTCTCCTTCACTACCTGCTCCTTCTCACCTTCCTTTCAACCCGAACGCTTCCCAATCTCAACCTTTCCTTGACTCCTTCGCCGGAGCGGCCAGAGCCTATCCCTCCAACACCACTATCAACGGAAAAAGAACAAGACCTTCTAATGAAAAGAGAGTAGGTAAAGCGTAAACTGCGAATACTCTTGAGAATTGGCTATGACCGCAAGGGTCAGAATGAGAAAACGGTTGAAAAACTCCTCCATTGGATTGGTATTGATAGTGAGGAGCATGGAAGGGGGAACAAAAGACAATGTTATGATTGTCTTCATCATCTTCATAAGTAATACAAAGCTCCATTCGAATTACTGAGGACTAGTTGGATTTTCGTTTTAGCGAATTTTTTAGCCCATATGCCCACCCCACCAAACCTTATATAGGGCCGAACACGAGCCCGAATTCATCTCAATAGCTCTCTGAACTAGTGCGAGTGCATAGAGATCAAAATGAAGAATAAATAGGTTGGTTCAGGCAAAAATTAGTTATCGGTCAATCATTGAGAAATAGTCCCCAAGTTTCGAGAGAAGAGGTTCAAGCATTCAATACCATCTATTGGTCCAGAGCCAGTTGACCAAGCTAAGATTGCAATAGCCAATATGCCAGTAGCAAGGGAATGAGAAGAATATGAAGCAATGGCAATTGAATCAATACCATCAATAGGAGTTTGAATTGCTCGAGCAACAAGTAGCAAGCACATGTGGCGATTCACCCCCAACCATACAACATAGGCAAATGTAAAGACGACTAGAGATGAAACGAATTATATCACTCACCATTTAAACTAATATCTGTTTCACTTTGGATACCAAGCCTATATTCCAGTCAATTCAAGACCCGATGTGCTAGATGCAAAATTCGAATGTAGGGTTGATCAACGATAATTACTTGTTATAAGTAGGAAGATTTTTTATTTGTATTTTACTTCTTATTGGTGTTGCTAGAAAATCTATACAGAAAGGATTGCATACTTGGTTACCCGATGCTATTAAGGGTCCCACTCTAGTATCTGCTTTGATTCATGCAACTACTATGGTAATAATGGGAACTACTTCACTAGACTAGGGAAAAGTTTCTCCAAGACACCAAATGAAGAATGCCCCAAAAGTTATACCACTGATGTACGAGCTGAAGAGTCAAAACACCATCCACTTGAAATACTTGATTACTTGAATAAGAAGTTTTAACATCCAAAAGGAATAGACCACCATGTGCTCTACCAATGCCAATAATTTTTCCCAACTCTAGATCCAGAAAGATACAATGAGTAGAATAAAAGGCCACTGAACAATTCAAAAAATTTGTAATACTGCTAACAAACAATAAATTTGTAAAAAAATTAGAGACATAAAGAACGAATGAAAATAATAAGGTTAAAAAGCAATTAATTGAACATTTTTCTGAAATAGAGGATAAAGTTCCACGGTTCCACATGCCATTTTTACCTTATCCCAACCGACATATGAAGGAAAAAGACTAAGAAAACCTGTCATGTGGTCCGTGGCTTCAATGTTGATTATCCAAGGCGTATATGAGGATGAAACACTAAATACACTAGTAGATATTCCCGCATGAGCAAAATTGGAAGAAGAGCTAAGATTAGGAGCTGTAATAGAGGAACCATCAAGTTGAGTCATCAAACGTCTAAGAGTCTGCACCTCATCTTGAGTGAAATTACTAGAGGTTACACCCCGTTTCGACATGTCCACACAATAAGGGCAAACAATCACAATGGCAAGTCACAACCAGCAAGATAGACAACACTTCCAATAATCGCTAAAAAGACATAAAACCAGTAAGCAAATACAACCCAAGTAATATGCCCCAACCTCCAGTTGCACCACTGATGGTAGGATTGAGCAAAAACAACAACAAAAAAAGTACTAAAAATTCCCAAAAAATAGATCCAAACCCAAAAAAATACTCCTACAATGATGGAATATCACTAGAGCAATAACCAGAGACAGGGGGTGCAAAATAGCCTCTGTTAGGTAATTTGGAGCAAAAAAAGACTGAACAGCAATCTGGAGCAAAAAGGGCCACTGGACTGAAAAAAAATAACATCCAGCAACCATCCAGCAATCATCCAACAACCTGATCAATTAACCAGCAGTAGCAGATGGAAGAAGCAGAGCAAAAAATATGGCTGTAGGCATACAGATTTTGACAAAAAACTCACCACTTCGATCCAAATGCACAAAAAAGCTATGGGTATCTCAGATCTGTCCTAGTCAAGCCTCAGCAAGTAAATCTGAACCAGAATCAAGCTTCACAGCACTCCGAAAACCAGATCTGAAGACGGTCCACTGTAGCCGAAGCTCCAAAAAAGCCTAGAAATCTTAAATTGAGCAATTTTCAACAAACCAACTTGGATAATGTAGATCTACCCTAGTCGAGTCCCAACCAGCAAGATCGAACCAGAAAAATAGCCTCAAAATCCAAAAATTCGCAAATCTGAGTTCAAACTTGAAAAAACCCGAAAAAACTTCAAAAAATCAAAAGCTTCTTCAGATAATTTCAAAAAATTCTAAGAAAATCACCATAAAAATCAGGGCTTCAAGCAATCAATTCATGAGAAAATCAAAATTTTTGTCACTGTTCATCATTGACATCATTCTGTCAGTCACTGACATCAGCACATAAGAAGATGATGTCAGCCACCCTATTTAGATGATTTCCGACAATTTTGAAGCTTCAAATTTGAATCGTAGCTCTGATACCAAGTTAAATTGTAATGTAATTAGGGTTAGGAAGAAAAAGAAGAGAAAATTAGTAAGAGGAGAGAAAAGATTAGGAGAAGAGAGTAGTGTGTTAAGTTACACAACTATACCCCAACTTATATATATAAACACAAAATACAAGAACACCCTCAAGCTAAAAATAAAGCATAACTAACAATAACTAACAAATTTTCATTTAGTAACTTTCCAAAATAATTCCTCTGCCTTTCTTTAATATCCTCGTTTTGAATCAAAACCGAGTCTTTACTCTTAATAACATCTCTCCTTTGCTTTCTCAAATTTTCAACTCTGACTCTCCCACTCCAATCATTGTTTTTTTTATGTTAATTCGAAAGTAGCTACTTTAGCTTGAGCCACTCAAATTTTTGATATTCCTTTTTATTTTCCATCAAACGAATGGCATCTTCTTCTGGAAATCTTAGCTATTCTTAGTATGATATTGGGAAATCTCATTGCTATTTCAAACAAGCATGAAACGTATGCTTGCATATTCGTCCATAGGTCAAATCGGATATATAATTATTGAAATAATTGTTTTCATGTTGTACCACGTGATGACTCTAAATAATCTATTTCCTCAGTTCTAATAACATCAAAACCGAGTCTTTACTCTCAAGTACATCACTCCTTTCCTTCAAAATGTTTTCTTTCTCTATTCTAATATCAACCAAAACACTTTTGTTCCACTCTTCAAATGTTGCTTCACTAGTTTCGATTTCGGCATGAATTTAAAACTCTTCCATAGTAAATTCATATGTACGGCACTTATAAGAAAAAGGAGACTAGAACTTCTTATCTAAAAGTCTAGATAAAATGATTCCAACTAGAGAAGCTCGATTTTTACAAAATTACCAAAATACACTTAAGACGCAAAAATTGGCATGATTCACAACTCATGCATGTTCATGCCTCATAGTTAGCCCCCCACCCCCCAATGTTTTGGTTTAGGAATCGACCCACAGATCTAGACCTCTTAAGTCATACAAAATGAGCTAACACCCAGGATAGCTCAAGATTTTGGCCAATTAGGCAATATATACAGCTTGTTCAGGTGACTGGATTAATGCATTACACTGGTTTTGACAAAATGCTGGTTTATGAAATGCTAAGATATATGAAAAATAAATGATTTTGAGAAAATTTGAAAGTCATTGCAGGTGAATTATGCAAAATGAGGATCTTGTTTGAGAAATATGTCTTCTACGATATGATGAATCTCGATTTTAGAAATTGAGAAACCTATGCTTTGAACTTTATTACGATGATTTTATGCAATTCAGTGATGAGCTTTGAAAACTGATCCTTGTATTGTACCCTCCACTTATGTATCTACAACTATTAAGTCTTGTGATCACAAGGGGTACACATACTCCCTTTGGGGCACATGATGGGCATTTGCCTTTGGGACAAGATGCACACATGTATGATATGTTATTTTATGATTGTGCATCCATATGACCACGATTCATTTTGCTCTACACGTGTATGACTATGATACGATATGTTACGATGCAAGTTAAACGTCGCATCACCCATTCCTCTTAGTATTACAAATTAAGAAAATTTTCAACCACACACCTTCTAGTTTACTATATCTTCAAGTACACCCCGTCTATTATCAGAAACATCACTGACACCTCTTGCCATTAAACCACTATTTCTAACAAAAAAAAAATTCATCTAAAATACAAAAAATGTCCCTACATAAACCCCAAACAATTTTTCTATATAAAATTCGATTAAAATTCAAGCCGATTAAAATTTATCTTCCTACATATTAAAATTTGAGCTGATTAAAACTCATTTTTTTACATATTAAAATTTGAGCCGATTAAAATTCGATTCAAGTTAATTAAATTTTATTTTTTTTTACGTATCAAAATTTGAGCTTTTAAAATTCTTTTTTTTACGTATTAAAATTCAAACCGATTTGAACTCTACCTAAACGGTTAACGTCGATTAAATAAGTTGTAAACGTCGATTAAAATTTATTTCGAGTCAATTAAAATTTATATTTTTTATTTATTTAATTCGTGCCAATTAAAATTTGATTAAAGTTGGTTTAAATTTATTTTTTACATATTAAAATTTGAGTCTATTAAAATTTATATTTTTTTTTATGTGTCAAATTTCAGGACGATTAAAATTCAATTTGAGCCGATTAAAATTTAATTTTTAATTGGCCCCAATAAAATTTTAATCGACTCAAATTTTAATACACAAAAAAAATATAATTTTTAATAGACTCAGATTTAAATACATAAAAAATAAATTTTAATTAGCTCGAATCGAATTTTAATTGGTAAAAAACTTTAGAAAATAAAAGGAGCCTCATTGAAGCTATGCCTAAAAGGGGTGTGGATAAAATTTTTCCACAAATATATCATGAAAAATTTAGTAAAATTACATTCTAATTAAAACTTTTAATCTGACTAGGGGTGTTAGTGAAAATTCAGAAAATAAAGATGGTATCCTTGAAAATATGATAAATTAGAAGGGGTGTGGCTGAAATTTTTCCGACAAATTAATACCAACAGTCTTCCTATGTGCAGTTTTGGAATATCACATAGTCTACAATATGCTAAGGTCGGATCACTGAAGCAGTTATTTTAGAACACTTGAGATCATCTATGTTGGATAAAAATGGGCCAGTTATCACTTTGAGTTAAGGGATTTTGAGTGTACACATATATATTTATTTTGACTTGGCATTATGGACAGATGGCAGATGTATGTTTAGTTAGGAACGGACCACCCCCTGATGATGAATTGTTTAATGCTAGTGATGAAGTGATTAGTATTTAACTTGAGTCTATGATGATATCCTGGTTATGTAATACATGATCATTCTAGGTAATATAGGTTATGTGGGGTTTGGATACAAGTTTTCAAGGGAAATATTTCAGATTTTACGTTCGTAGGAGGGGTTGGCGCGACAGCATCCAAGAAGTATCAGACA